GTTTTAGTCAACCGAGGGTCAGTGGTCGTGGTGGTGGGTTAGTGAGCGTGTATAGGAAAAATTTAAAATGTCATCAAGTACGCTGTGATGAATTTAACTCCTTTGAAGTTCTCACTCTTAAAGTTGGAGGGCTGCAACCTATCATATTTGTTATAATTTATCGCCCCCCAAAACCGCCTGGAGGATTTTTATCAGAACTTCCTGAATTTTTATCTACTCTGGTTTTAAATTATGACAGAATTGTTCTTTGTGGCGATTTTAATATTCATGTTGATGACCCCAACAATGTTAATGCAACTAACTTTTTAAATATGGCCACTTCTTTTAACTTCAAACAACATGTCAAAGGGCAAACACATAACCGTGGTCATACACTGGACTTGGTTTTTACCCTGCATGCCGCCTCACCAAGCTCCGTGTGTTCTCGCATCTTTAATGAACAAAGTGTTTCAAAGTTTTGCGCATTCTTTCAGAGTCAAAGCCAACACCTGTCTGATTCCAACACCAACAATCTGGTCAATCACTTCAATCATATCTGCTTGTCGTCACTAAATATTACTGCTCCTCTAAAGGTTAGGCCTACGTCTAAAGCTAGTAAGCAACCCTGGATAAATGACAGCATTCGCAGCCTCAAAAGGGAATGCAGGAAAGCAGAGCGCAGATGGAAAAAATCCAGTCTCCAAGTCCATTACCTCAGTCTGAAGGATTTATTAATTAACTACAATAACATGGTTAAGGATGCGAGAACACACTATTTTTCTAAACTCATTACTACACATAAACACAATCCCATGTTTCTGGGACTGTGGATCAGCTGGTAAACCCAATCCCTCCTTGTGCCTCAGCTGGAAGTAATGATGACTGTGAATTGTTTTTATCTTATTTTACCAATAAGGTGGTGTCAACCAGAGCCTCTATTACCCCCGCGGCCTCTTTCTCAGAGGTTCCTCACCAGCAACAAGAGAGTTTTAACCAGTTTTATCCCATCGACTTCTCTGAGCTTTTGAAAACAGTAACACAAATGAGTGTCCTCCAGCCCACTTGATGTAATACCTACAAAGTTTTTACTGAAAGTAATAGATTCTGTTGGGCCCCATTTGATCTCTGTTTTCAACAGCTCCCTATCTACTGGTTGTGTCCCTGATTTTATTTTGTCCTTATTTTAAAACGGCTTGCGTGAACCCACTTTTAAAGAAACCTGGTTTAGATCCCTCCCTCCCACATAATTTTAGACCAATTTCAAAACTGCCTTTTATTGCAAAGATTCTAGAAAGAATTGTGTCCAAACAGCTGCTCACTGTGCTTGAAAATAACAAAATATTTGAAAAGTTTCAATCTGGTTTTAGGAAGTACCACAGCACTGAGACTGCCTTGCTTAAAGTCACCAATGACCTTTTAATGTCTGCTGATGAAGGCATGTGCTCAGTCCTGGTACTCCTGGACCTTAGCGCTGCTTTTGACACCATTGATCACAACATCATGTTAGACAGACTGAGGCACTGGGTGGGGATCTCTGGTACTGCCCTAGAATGGTTTTCATCCTACCTGTCAAATAAGAAGTTTTGCGTGTCTGTAAACAACTCCTTGTTCTGTCCAGTTAAATATGGTGTGCCTTAGGGGTCGGTCTTAGGACCCATTTTGTTTTCCTTGTATCTGCTTCCCCTTGGACATATTATCCATAAACATGGCATTTCTTTTCATATTTATGCTGATGACACACAAATATACTTGCCCGTCAGATCCACAGACCCTGGAATGCTGAGTTCACTTAACAACTGCCTTTGTGAAGTAAAAAAATGGATGTCAAATAATTTCCTCCAGCTGAACTCAGACAAAACAGAAATCCTTGTCATTGGGTCCCAGCAGATTGCATCATACTGCCATCTGCTGGTTCGCTAGTAAATCACATTAAGCCTGTGGCAAAGAACTTTGGTGTTTGGTTTGATAGTAATTTAAATTTCGAGCAGCACACCACAAAGCTTGTTTAATCATGTTTTTATCAACTTAGAAATATAGCTAAAATTCGATCTATGTTAACTTTTAAGGACACCGAGACCATTTTACACGCCTTTATCTCATCACGCCTGGATTATTGCAACAGCCTTTTCACCTGTTTAACCCAAAAATCTATTGATCGACTCCAGACTGTCCAGAACTCAGCTGCCAGGCTTTTAACCAGAACAAAGAAATATGACCACATTACTCCTATTTTAGCTTCATTACACTGGCTCCCAGTATGTTTTAGAATTGACTTTAAAATTCTATTGATCACTTTTAAAGCTCTTCATGGCCTCTCGCCTTGTTATATTTCTGAACTTTTAGTCCCATACACACCAGCACGCACCTTGAGATCCTCGGGCAGAGGTCTGTTGTCTGTTCCAGAGTCTCGACTGAAAACTAAAGGGGACAGAGCGATTGCTGTCAGGGCCCCGAGGCTCTGGAACAGCCTGCCCGAGGAAATCAGGTCAGCTGAGTCAGTGAACTCTTTTAAGTCCCTTCTTAAAACATACTTTTATAGGAGAGCCTTTCCTGATCTTATCTGACTTTATTTTATCCCTTTTATTTTATTGTATTTTACTAATTTTATATTTATCTGTATTTTAGTATTTTCAATGTTTTCATGCTTTTATCTTGTATTGTTTTTTGTATTATTGTCTCTTGGGTATTATTGTCTTTATTGTTAGCACTTTGTAACTTGTTTTTGAAAAGTGCTCTACAAATAAGGATTATTATTATTATTATTATAGTGACTTGTTTAAACAAACTTCTTACTCGTTTTATACTTGTTACTGTCATTTTTGGAGGAGGTTTGCGACTCACCAATAAAGGAAATGGCAAATAATTTTCAACAGATATCAAAAAATTACCCTAAATTTGTTTCCTACAACTTATTTGGTCACTTAACTGTTTCACTCCTCTCTCATTCAAATATTTAAAAAATCGCATGCTGTAGTCTTTCCCCATATAATACTACCCGTGAGGATTACCTAATTACAATACAAATAATAATAGGCTACCAATAAAATACTATGGCTTCAACGGGAGGTATTTTATGCAAGGTATAGAATGAAGTACTCTATTGGTATTGGTATAATTTTAAAGCTACTGGTTTTGGTACTTGTATTGTAAAATTTTTAACGATACCCAACCATAACTACGGTCAACCCCCTGGCATTTCATATCAGAATCAGAATCAGCTTTATTGCCAGGTATGTGTAAACATTTGAGGAATTTGACTCAGGATTGTACATTGCTCACAATGTGCTTAGTCATACAATAATACAGTAATAAAATAAATCAGACACAGGCTACAGTGTAGACAAGACAAATATACACACTATGAATAAAAAACAATATACCGTAGACGTATTGACAAATAGTGCAGTGAGCAGAGTGCAAAGGATGCAGGAGTAAGATATTATTATCATTATTATGTACATGTCAGAGGTGGATGTGATATACAGGTACACATACATTTATATTGCATCATCGTCAGGTCAAATTGTTTAAATTTTCAATATTTTGATTTATGACCTACCTGCAAAACTATTAGTTTTTTTCAGTCGCTAACAAGCGCTTACCCATACTTCAGATACTTTTTCTAAACTCTTAACACAGACTCACACCTACAAAACACAATTGGCCAAATGGATAATTTTCTTCTCAAAAACACATTTTGTTAAATATATACTAACTCTTCATTTCAAAATATAACACATTTTTCTCTGCACACACTATTTTTACCAAAACACTGGAAATCTGACTCAAAATGAAATTATTCTGTCAAAGAATGACACTTGTTTTCACTTCACAAAGTACATGCAGTCAATCAAAGTACACCAGGTTTCAAAATACTGGCTATTGTTGACATTACAAAAACTACATAGACTTTTATGTTTCAGTTTTACAGGTATTTGCATGCAAAACATGCAATCCACCGTTTTTACACTAAATTTCTTGGTTGGTAACTGTATGTCCACAGTAATGTTCATATTCAAAAGCATTCCAGTAAAAAGCAAATCCGTTTTTTTTTTCTCCTTTACTGTTTACTACAGGAGGTACAGTAGAAACACGGTATGATAGAACAGAAAAAGTTTTACAGTATTTCTTACAGTGAACAAAATATCCGTGAAACAAACAAGACCATTCTGAACAAAAAAACAACAGCAAAAAGTCCAGATAAAAATTGGGGGAACAAAAAAAAAAAGCACAACATTGCTGTATCTAATCTCTGCGATCTTCAGGGTTAGGCCACATGTTTTCGTCAACATCACATCTGATATTATCCAAGGCGATGCACCTGGGATAAAACCGCTTGGTATGTCGGATCCACCCTTGACAATCCTGAACTGTGATGTCCCTGCGGCCAGCATCCATGGCTTCAAGGAGGGACATCTGGTCATGTGGCTGATGGTCATAAACCTACCACCTCCATGCTGAAAAGAACTCCTCCATAGGGTTGAGGAAAGGTGAATAGGGTGGAAGGAAGAGACTTACCAGTCTTGGGTGAACTTCAAACCATGTTGTTATTGCTTGCGCATGATGGAAAGCCACATTGTCCCAGGTAATTACAAAGGTCCTCATGTTTTCACCCTCCCGATCCTGCTCTGGAACCAGGCGCTGGTGGAGATCATTGAGAAAGGCAAGGATGCGCTCAGTATTATAGGGTCCAACCTGACATCTGTGAAGGAGTAATCCTGCATTTGCAATTGCTGCACACATGGTAATGTTTGCCCCTCTCTGTCCTGGCACATCAACTGTGGCCCTTTTTCCAATTACATTTCGTCCACGTCGACGCCTTTTGGCCAGATTGAATCCGGCCTCATCTATGTAAATGAATTCATGAGGGGCCTGGTTGGCCTCCAATTCCAAAACTCTCTGAAAGTTTATGTAAATCATGTCATTACTGTAATCCATACTGTACTGTAACCTATTACTGTGTAGGTTACCTACTTGCAAAGTGCAAAGCTTATAGAACTGGGCATTGAATTGAATATACACTATACCTGGACATATTGTCGTCGAAGCTCCTTGACTTTCTCACTGTTCCTCTCAAAGGGAACAGTGTAGAGCTGCTTCATCGGCACTCTGTGTTTGGACAATGTCCGCGTAATGGTTGTGAGGCTGATGCTATCGATGTTATCAAACATCTCATGGTCCTCCACAATTCTAGTCTGAATTTCACGCAGTTTTATTGCATTGTTTGCAACAACTATTTCTACAATGGCAAGCTCTTGATCATTACTGAGGAGCTTTCCTCTTCCCCCAGAGGGTGGAAGACGTTGCATTCTTTAGAGGGACAAAAAAATTAAACATATGCATTACTGTATGACCTTATTGACATGTCAAGTGAGAATAGAAACAATCCATGTAAAATGCAATACTTACCTGTTGGTTTGTTGAAAGATGCGTATAATGGAAGCAACCGTTGACCGCCTCAAATTGGGCTGCACTCTTTCACCAGCCTCTCTTAGTGAAAGACCGTGGTTGATTACATGGTCAATGATAGTGGCACGAATTTCATCACTGACTACTGTTCTTGGAGCCCTTGGAATGCCACCACCACGCATTCTTACACCTCTACCTTGCCCTCTCCTTGGGCCTGCTCCTCTCCCTGGTCCTGCTCCTCTCACTGCTCCTGCATCTCTCCTTGCTCCTGCACCTCTCACTGGGCCTGCTCTTCTCCCTGGGCCCCTTGCTCTTACTCTTCCTCGTCCAGACATTACAGTGTTTGTCTTTTTCTGTTTCTGTTTCCAAACACATCACTCCTCAAAGTCCTCCTTTTATATATGTGTCAATGTAATAGAAGAAAAAAACCCTGCCACTAAGCCAGACTGGAATCAGCTGTGGTTGGCCCAATTTACCCAACATAAATCAGCTGTGTGTCAATTATTTAAATGTTTGTTTATTATCAGCCAAAATATATTGTTTTTCAACTGATCATTGCAGAAACAGAGGTTTTTATACTATATCTAAGGTTTGGAATATTGTTTTTGCTATTGTGGGATGGTGTGTGTTAACATATCGTAAATACTACAAAAATAATCCATAATTTTGTTGAGAGGTATAGCTTGTCTGTTAAGAAAATTTAAGCATTGTGGAAATGTGTTCACTGACTGCGTATTGTGTGAAAACGACATGAAATGTGTGAATGGTATGGCCACAAAAGACCGATGCTGTGCTGTGTTTAGAGTTTTGAAAATGTGACAACTGATTGGACAAACGCTTGTTAGCGACTGAAAAAAACTGTAACACTCCCATAAGCGTCAGCTGTACTTTGTGTTTTTATCAAATGTTAGCATGCTAACATGCTAAATTAAGAAAGTAAACATGGTAAACATTATAGTATATATAGCCAGGTGAACCAGGGGTACAGAGATATATAGTGTAAAACATTATGTAGATGCTGGTGGGATTACTGCTGCAGTAGCGTTTCCCTTTCTTTAATGACACTGTGACTTTAAGAGTAGTATTCAGGTCAGATCGCGCAGGAGCGCAGATTGATGGTGTGTTCCATTTACCCCGGAAGTCGGAGGTTGGAGCTGGGAATGATGTTACACCCAAGTTGATGGCGTTCCAGTTAACAAGTTGGAAAAACTTGCTAGGCCAGCCATTTTTTACAACTAGACAGGTTGATAAAAGAAAAAATGCATTGTGTGGTATACTAAACACTGTAGCATCACGTCCATAGACAGCACTTTGTGTGCGAAAACATTTATATGAGACACAAGTACACAGAAGTGCTAATAAACAGTATAAACAACAGCTTTCACTAACTGTTGATACTCGGAGCAGCCATCTTAAATCACAAAGTCGGGTTAGTGCAGTTCTCCCAACTTCCCAAGTCGGAAATCCGACTTAATGGTTCAGTGTGTAAGTTTTAGTGAAATCTAGTGGTGAGGGTTGCAAATTGCACCCCCCTCCTCCCCTATCCAATTGAGTTGTATAGCTACAGTGCCTTAGACAGGATAAAAATGTCATCTATGATATAGCGGAGATTTGCCAGTCAAGAATTGAGGTTTCTTTAGATAGATATATTAAAATATATTTACTTAATTATTCAGTAAAACCATATGTTTTTTTGAAAAAAAAATGTCTTGTTCATTAATAAACAACAGCCACATCAAGAAATGAAGTGCTATATGATGTCTCATACTCCTGTAATGCATTATTTTACATCTTGGGAGGGTTGGCTCATCTAGACTAACATACCAAAGTAAATGAAGAACATCTCAAAAACTATCACATCTTGTGCATCAAGTATGACCACTGACAGATACCAGAAAAATGTAAGCCTCACTGTTTCTGCACCGCAGTCCATTATAAACCACATAATACATGAAGTTTATGAAGGCATTGAAAGGTGAGGATCAAGGCTCCTCTCACTTTACTTAATTAGATAAGCAATCTGCAAATCTTACCAAAATGTCAAAATTTTTTAAACTACAACAGAAACACAAAGTAGTACTGACAGCCATAATTTCAGCTTGTGGTTAAACGGTGCAATGTTGTTAATGGGCATTTAGCATGTGAAAGTACAAATTACACATTTGTGTGTAATATCCAAAAAACACCTTTTTTTAATGCAAATTCGGAAAGTATTTATTATTGGTCACTTGATAGGCACACGGTCTTGTTACATATCACCATTAGCAGTAAAAAGAAGTACATGTTTTCTACCAGGGCAGTAAAATGTGAAGCTTAGCTGCTGATCTGAGCTTCCCTGCTGGTACCGTTTCATTACTAATAATATTCAGAGCCGACAGACTGAGAGCAGGATTTTAAAGGACAACTACTGAGGACCGGACGGATTAAGGCTCGCCCAGTGACTTTTACTACAAGTTTTATTATAAATGACTTAGGATCCCTTTTCCTATTTTAGGTCTTTTAATTGTGTTGCTTTTACTGTTTATTGTTTTAATGTAATAAATATATTGGGCATTGGTTTTATAAACAGTACTGGCCTGAGCCTGGTTTTGTTGTGGTGCAGCCTGTTCCCCAGCAGAACCCTATCTAAACTTAGTTTTTAGATTTCAGTGTAATCATATCAGACGACCCGTTCATTTGTCCAAATGTCACTTCTCTTCTTACTTCTAATAAACCAGAGGACTACTCAGAGACTGTTTATTATTATTATCATTATTATTTCCTCTTCTTCTTCTACAGACCCATTTAATGTAGTGACGTATACAAGGAGAAGAAGAACGCCGTGATGATGAAACACGCTCTGTAGCGCTGTTTGACCTTTGTCGGCTATTGTAGAAACATGACAACAAAATACAGCGACCTCCATAGAAGGGGGACCTGCAGTTATGTAGATAAAAATGGCTCATTCTAAGGTAATAAAAACATAATGGTTCATTATGTAAGGTCTTTATACGCCACTGAAACATAGTTATGGATATTATATTGCATTTCTGTCAGTAGATCCTCAGAAATATTACACACTGAACCTTTAAGGGGGCGTTCCCTTTGAAATTTCCGACTTTGAACTTGAAATTCCAACTTCCAATGTCAAATGGAATGCACCGTTTTTGACGGGCCTTGGGCTAAGTGGAAGTGTCGGTCCTGTGGAGAAGAGTCACTGTGAGAGGTTTATTTTGGTTTATTGGTAGGGAGAATATCTCCATAAACAAGCCAAAAGGTCAAGTACATAAATGATCATTAAGATCGGCAGATGAAAGAGTGAATCAACTAGCAGGCCGCAGTAGATGAGTGATGATTTGGTGTTTAGTCGATTACTGTTGATTGAATTGTTATTGTATCTAAAATGACATTATGATGGTGAACGCTGTCTGTGTAAATAAACTGTGCAATTTGCACTTTTCTGCTGACTGAGAGGGAAGATACACATGCTGAGTTTTTGTGTGTGTGTGTGACATTGAGTGAGTTAATGATCTATTCTAATATTAGTTTCAACTTCTTGTACATTGTATTTGCCAAACTGTACTTGTATTTTATGTTATCTGCTGAATTTCAGTATTTTTACTTTGAGTTGTGTGGCTGACTGAATGCATTTATTTATATTATATTTCTATAGTTTTTATTTTCTTTATTTAGAAAGAGACACTGCTGTTGTCTAGATTCTAGAGTCGTTATTGCTTCCTAATGTTTAGAGGTAACTAAAGTTTATTAGCATGGGTGTAAATCTGATTATGGCAGCTGTTAACATACTGTGATATGGTTAAGGGGTACTGTTGTGTACTGTTACATCAAACAGTCGAGATCAGATATTACAAATGAACGGCAAAAGTAATTCCTTGGTTTTGTACAACCTTCAACTGCCTTAAATCCTCAAAATTACATTATTAATGCTATTCTCACTGGTGGACCGTTTGGGAATGAAAACCCACAAAAATTGTATTGTCTGTATTGCCTCATCATTCCTGGCCGGGCCATATATACATCTGCATGTTAGCATGTTAGATTACAATGATACCATATAAAACAAAATTAACTGTTCAGGTGAATAGTTAATAGTGTATTCAGTGAGACTGTGGGGCTTGACATTAACTTTTTTGCTCACTAGCCAATGTGGCTAGTGGTTTTCCAAAGTTTTCACTAGCCACATTTTTGTTGCTGGGAAATGACATTTTATATGATTAAAGTTGACAATGGCATGCTTAAATTGGCGTGCTAAAATGTACTAATATTATCATTAGCTCTGATAAGATTGTGTGTAAAGCTCCTTTTTTGAAAACATGTAGTCTATTAAGATAAACATGGGTGTAAAAGATTAACTGAAAAGATAAAAACTAAACTGAAAACTACATTCACCAGAAACATTGTTAAAAACTTATTTATTTATAAAAGCAGTAGGCTACATACTGTCATATAGAGTCGTAAAATTATCTGCATTAGAAACAAAGAGCAAAGATGAGCAAATGATGTGCACTTTTGTAGTGTTTGTTTTGCATCTGCATTTCCTCAGAGCTCTGACTTGATTTATGTTTATCATCATGAAGCTCTGCAGTAGCTCTGAGTAACTGTAGATATGAATTGAGTATACAGGTATTTATTTTCCAGATTATTCCCCTACAAACGCATCTTCTGCTTTCATATATGGTAAGACAACTCTTTATTAAAACATATCTACATCTATATTTTACAGCATTTAACGGCACTTTCCTCCTGCTTTTCCCTGCCTCTGCTCTGCCTTTTCTCTTTCCTTCATTCACCTGTGCATTTTTCTCCACACTAGACGGCCACGCACACTCACGCACTGAACGCTGTGTTGATGTGTGTGTGCATGTGACCAGTCACTTATGATGACAGAGGTCCTACCATCAACGCGTCTCACCCTCGCGAGAGAGTGATTCACCTACTATTAAAAAACCTTGCTTTGTCATGGCTGCCGCTAGTTAAGTGGTTAATTAACGGCAGGCCAAACATCCCTCGGTCCAACGGCCAGTCCGCTAGTTTAATCTCCACAACGTCTTCTTGTTGACAGTGTTGTTTGTCGGTAGCGCGCAAGAAAAAAGGCTTCACTAATGGACCAATGAACAAACATTATGTGCAGGTAGTACTCATGGGAGTTGTAGTGTCATAGTGTCACATTGCAATTCGTTTGTTATTTATGCTTTTTGACAAAACTACAATTTTTCAACACGCCAAAGTGGCTAGTGGGAGTGACTGTGTTACCCGCCACTGCCACATTTGGCGGGCTGGCGAGTGTTAAAGTCAAGCCATGTGGGAGAACAATTTCAGTGAAATCTCAGTAACTGAGTAAATTTCATGCATATTTCTTGTAATCTTTAAAGGGCAATATGTAGTTTTTAGCGGTCATAAGCGGTGTGGTTTTCAGATTGCAATGAGGTATGTGCTCGAATGCGTGCTTGGCTCGAACTCATAAAGCATAACCGCTTTCATACAGAGATCCCATAATAAACACAGAAACACTGGC